GGATACAATTAAATCTTTAATAGGCCAATTTGATTTAATCATGTGCTAAATTAAATTTTAATAATATTTAAGAATTATCTTGGATCCAATTGAAGGATTTAATTAGTGCAAGTACTTAATTATATTTTACATAGGTCAAATTAATTTCATTAGAAAATTAATTGCTAAAAAAAATAAGTTTGGGAGCATAATTTGAGCTTAATTGAGAAGATTGGAATTTTAAGAGATTAAATTTAATTTTTTCACTAAGTTGATTGATTGAAATTAGAGAGTAAAATTGCAAGAAAACTAGAGTTTTTTGGTTAATTAGGGGTTCAATTGAAAAAATTCACAGTCAATGACCAACTTGAAAAAAAAGTACTAAATTATGGGTGCTTAATTGACAAATACCAATGGTGAAATTAAAAAAAAATTAAAGTTTAATGGTCAATTAGGAGTTAAATTATATAAATCTGATACCAATAACGAAAGTGCAAAAAGTGTCATCATTTGGGGAGAAAATTGAAATTCGAAAGGGGTTAAATTACACCAAATCAAAAGTTTAAGATAAATTATGAGTGTAATTAAAAAAGAATTGAAAGATGGAGGACTAAATTGAACTTTAAAAAAAACTAAATGAAGCTTCGTCTGGTCACTATTTACTATATTTCTAGATTTTGCCCAAGAATGTTATCCAAGTGGTTACTTTTCAAATGCATTTAATGTCTCACATGTCCTCTAAAATTGACAACACATGAATCAAAATAATCACCTGACATTACTCTACAATTCCTTGTGACTTGTTCAGACCGATTGACAACAAAACGGCCTTAATTCTGGTCTAAAAAGGTCAATCCAAACAACCTTTTCCTATAGATTTGATAACTCACAATGGATACTTTGAAACAACAGTTGAGATCTTTCCCAACTGAAGCAAAGACTATGATTTGGTATCATTAAAAAAAAAATATCCCACTTTCACTTCCTAGAGATAAATCTGAATTTCATGGCAAAAAATGAAGGTAATTAGGTCTAAAGTAGGCAAAAAAAAGCCCCCCAACCCCTGATTTTTGGAATTTTCTCTCTCTTTCTTTCTCTTTGCCGTTCTAGCTACTGATTGACGCTACCACTAGCTCGTCCACCACTAGCTCCATCACAAGAAGCCAACATAACTTTTGACCAGCCATCATTGGTCTATTTCCCCCTCTCTATTACCCTCTTCTTCTTTTTTACTCCTTTCCTCTCTCTTCTTGTCTCTAGCTTCGCCTTGAAACCACCATTTCTTCTCCTGTCACACCAAGCACCACCAGTCAGGCTGCAAGCAACACCCTCATCCCAAGTGAACTTTGTCAGTTATCCCCACCTACAAGACAACTTTTGTTCCTTTTCCTTCAATCAGAGCATACAAGACGTGAATTAATTCACATCCTGCACTGCTGGTATTCAACGATAGTTATAGGGATGGGTTGGACATGTTTCTAGTCGAACTTAGATGGTTAGGTTGGGTTTGGCTTAACCCCAAAAAAAGAAAAAAGATTTGTTGGGTCATGAACAACCCAACCCAACATTCATGGGCTTGACCTAATTAGTTGGGCCGGCCCATCCCACATATATTTTTATGTATTTATTTATATAATTTATGTTATAATATTTTAAAAAATAAAAAATCTAAAAAAATAAAAAAATTATTTCAAAAAATCGTGATTTTCTTAAGTATCAAAACCTTTAAATTAATTTCCTTTAAAAAAAGGAAACAAAAAATTATTTTCATGCATACAGTCAAATTCTAAAATTCTTTCCAGACATATTTTCATAAAAAAACAAAAATTTGTATCTTTCTCATGTTTTGAAAATCCAAGAAAAAACAGATATCATAACTAGTTAATGATCATCTATTAGGGTTTGGCTAAAATATTAAAAACTTCTTTTCAATTTTTTTATAGGGTCTAGATATAGACTTTAAATCTGTTGTGTGTAAAATTACATGATAAAGTACACCATCAGATATTAAAGATACAATGTGTAAATAAATATGATGCTAAAATTCAGATTTTAGAATGGTTAGAATTTAATCCGATGAGGTAGAGACTCTCCCATGAAGAGAAATCTACTTTGAACCTTAAAAAATATCAACAAATAAAAACCTAACCTAGAAAAGCAATCAAACAATAATGTAGCTTATCTTGCACAAGTAGTGCCTTACCTATATTCTCGTAGACCATATGTTCATAGTGGGTATTGACTCTTAAACATTAATTATAGTTTTATGATTAAATTCAAAAACCTTTCCAACACTATTTTATTGGAGGCACCATAAAAGCCTCCATTGTTGTCGACGATGTCGTTGTGCAACCACGACATTATTTTAGCTTTTTATATTTTTGTTCTAAATTTTTTTTTTGTCATATTTTAGTCCCTAGTTCTTAAGATAGGTTAAGGAAGATCATCCAAAAGGTGTAAAAAAAAAAAAGTTTAGTCAATCATATTTCGACCATAAAAAATAATTATTTTAATGTTAATAAAATCATTTTAAAAATAAAAATTCAATGAAGATGATTTTTATCTTGAAACATATTGGAAATGGTAGATAGATGATGCTTTATCTATTCAAGTAAAAAGTAGAAAGTCAACTAGCCTCTTATGACTTTTTGTTAAATAGTTCTTAAATTTTTTTTAGGTTTTTATTTTTAAAAATTTTATTTTTCTTAATTTTTTAAATCAAATTTTGTTTAAATAGATGTATTAAAGTGATATTTAAAGAATTATACGATTAGTTTTTTTTCTCTGTTATCTTAACTACTGCTTTTCTTATAACAGAAAAAGTTTTTCCTCTTTAATCCAAATTAATATATATTTTTTAATTGTTATTAGTTTTTTTATTCAATAAACAAGCTGTTAATAAAAAAAACATGTTATAAGAAAAAAGTTATTTAAATTAGAAAAGATCATTTTAGCTAAAAAAATACATTTTTCTCTGTTATCTTAATTACTGTATTTCTTATAAGTAGTTATTTTAACTATGATTTATTATGTAATTAAACGGGTACCTTAGCTAGTGGTTCTACATTATCATTTTCAATTATAAAATTCTAGGGATCGGAGATCTGCGGTTCGGGGCAGCTTCGGAATCTTGACATATCGGAAACTCATTTATAGCCCAAAAAACAGTATGGCTTGGCCCATGATGCCACCTTATGTGCTTAAAATATAACGAAAAACCCAGAAACGCCACCGTAACGACCAGCCTGCTACTTCTCTTCTCCGATTTGTTCTCTGTTTAGAGAAAAGAAAAGAAAACCCAAAGCTGAAACAAAAACAAAACAAAGACAGCCACACGAAAAGAAAGAAAGCATTGTAAAAACATGGCAACAACAGATATACCAGATGGAACGGTAAGGAACATACTAGACCAAGACACTCTAAAGTGGGTTTTTGTTGGAGGCAAAGGTGGTGTAGGCAAAACGACTTGCAGTTCGATTCTCTCAATTCTTCTGGCTCAAGTCAGATCTTCCGTTTTAATCATATCTACTGATCCAGCTCATAACCTTAGTGACGCGTTTCAGCAACGATTTACGAAGACTCCTACTTTGGTTAATGGGTTCAGCAATTTATATGCTATGGTAAAAGTTTGGATCTTTTTTGGTTTTGGGTTTGTGGGTTTGTTGGATTTAAAGGGAATTTTGTATTTTTTTTATTGAATTTGAGAATACCCAGTTGTGAATTTAGGTCTTTTTAAGTTTTTGATTGTTGGTTTTTGAAGAATTCAGAAATTGAGTTCGTTGTGTGAAACATCTGTGTAAAGTTTGATGAAGTTTTGTTCTTTTTTTCTTTGAAGAGGTTGATTTTGAGTTCTCTTTGTTAATTGTATTGGAGAGTTGTTATATTGGTTGATAATGTTGTTTTTCAGTATATAATTGTGGCATTGTTTGGGTAATGGTGATTTGCAGGAGGTGGATCCTAACGTTGAAAACGATGATATTGGAGGAAGCGAAGGAATGGATAGTTTGTTTTCTGAGCTTGCGAATGCAATTCCTGGCATTGATGAGGCCATGAGTTTCGCGGAGATGTTGAAGTAAGAACCATGTTTCCATTATCTTGATCACTTGCAATGTTGAAAAGCATTTAGTGGATCAATAAATATTATGATCTAATGGCTTAATGTTAGACTGACTTTATGGTGATCAATAAATATTATGATCTAATGGCTTGATGTTAGATTGACTTTATGGGCGGGGATGCTATGCTTATTTTCTTTTTCTTTATTGAGGATTGCTCTCGGGTTTCTTCAAGGTTTGCAAAGCTGCAAGAAGTTGAGATTTATGACATTATTAGTTCCAGGATTGCTCTTTTGTTTCGATGACAAGCACTGATCAAGGGTTAACTTTAAGTTAATTTATTTGTCAAGTAGCTATAGTTGAGTAGACTACTCCTACTGACAAACTGGGCTTCTTGCATGTTATTCGAGCTGTGCTACATGTTTTGAGCTAGTGGGTTTTATTTATTTGTTTCCATCATTTGAATCTTTGATCAAACAGTTTTGAGCATGTCCTTGATATGGTCTTTTACCATATTCAGTTCTTGTAATATTTCTATAAATGTAATTAGAATGAGTGAATGAATTGTGTTGTTGTATGTGAAGTGCTTTTTCTATTTTACCTAAACTGACATCTCCTTGCCAAAGCTCTGCTGAGAGACACATAGTGGTTTCACTCTCGCCTTTGCTTGACCAAGTTGAATCAACTTAATTTTTTAATTATCAAGAATCGAATGGTTTCTGCTCAACTTATTTTCCTGCAGACTGGTGCAAACGATGGATTATTCCTGTATTGTATTTGATACTGCTCCAACTGGTCATACACTCCGGCTATTACAATTTCCATCAACTTTGGAGAAGGGGCTTCAGAAGGTGATGTCTTTGAAAAGTAAATTTGGCGGCTTAATTGGTCAGGTATGTCCTTCATTGTGATCAAGTATTAGCCTTTCAATTCAAATGGGGGTCATATTGTTGGCGTGTCTTTTACAATATGATAGTTGAAACAGCTATTTAAATGAAGTTTATCCTTTTCTTTTCTTGTCAGGTGATGCTTATGTTATAAGTTATCTCGAACTGTTCAGATGCCTGTTTTAACTTATTTTTTCTATTCCTATTTTAGCATGCTCTATTAATTGAGCAGTTGTATTTCCTTTCCTTCCAACATCTACTTACCTTAGCTTAATGGCTAGGAGATAAAAATATGGTGCTCTATGATATCTTGTTTTCTATTTTGGAAAATTTTTAATAAATGCAGTTCACATCGATCCTTGGTTGTTTGGGTTCCTAAGTTGTGACTTATTATACAGTTTCATACCCACAGGGCATTGATCAGTCTGGTGCTCCTTGTCTGTCTTCCACCATAGCATGAAAATTAATTAATTCTGTTCCTTCTGCATTTATCAAATGTTCAAGTTGATTCTAGGTTGTGGAATGATCATCCAATCTCCAACGTGCCAGTTCGATATTTGAGCCTCTTGCCCGTGCATGACTGCAATTTTATTTCTCTTTCAGTGTTGTCCTTTCATTTCCCTGGTTATCTTAGTTCAAGCAGTCATTCATACATTAGGCAGGAATGGTGAGACCAAAAACATACTGAACCATCCATGATTGATGGACCATTTATAGGATTGACCTCAGATGGTAGTACTTTTTCTACTTTTCCCTTATTCTCTGCCTAGTATTTGTATGGTTGAAGCTTCTGATTAAAGAGCTGAATCCAGAAATACTAGGTTTTTTTATCTGAGAGAACAAAGAGAAGAAAAGATAATAATATTAGGGGTTTGTCTGCTATCTATAGTCACTATAACTTCTAGTCATTTGGACGAAGTGCAGATGTATTACTCTTGCCGTTTTGACCCATTGATGACTGAGAATAAAGTTTAGCCTCTGAGTAGTGGATTCCTGTTCCCGTACATTTGAGTGATATTAAATTTCACGCCTCTGCATCCTTAATTCTCATGTCTTTTGACTATTCTTGGAATTTTTTGTGACAGATGACTCGTCTCTTTGGCATCGATGATGAGTTTGGTGAGGATGCAATCTTGGGAAGGCTTGAAGGCATGAAAGATGTGATCGAACAAGTCAATAAGCAATTCAAAGACCCAGTAAGATCTTTCATCCATGTGATTGTGTTTGCATACATTTAAGTGTTAATTATGTTATGTTTCAGTTGCAGGGTTTTTTTTTTTTTATTATTATTGTATATATGCCAGAGTTTGTTTAGAGGATTGAGCCTCTTGTAGCATATTCAATGAAGGTGCCTGAATTGTGGTAATGGTAATTAAATAAGTATGGGTTTAGGAAGTTCTCATTGTTGCTGCATTATCTCTCCATGTGTCTGGAATTATTGTAGTTAATGACATGCAGTGGAGTGTTGTTGTTAAATTGGATTGAAGTTAATTTATTTTTTTGTATCATGGGTGTCTTGCATATAGTTTTTGAGGGCATAACTAAATTTTATTTTTTGGCCTTTCCTATTAAGGTTTGGTGTAAGGATGTGTATTATGACTGACATGTTCATCTACTCGAATAGTTTCTTACATCGATGGCCTAAGATACTGTAGATTTGTAAGTTTGGAAGCTATGACTTGCAATTTTTCTTTATGGGCTGATTCTTACTGAAAATTTTCATTCTGTAGATGGTACTTTTATTTTCCAGTTGAACATTCTAGTTTCTTTATCACTTTTGTCTTTTCTTTTCTTTTCGTTTCATCTGACTATAATTAATTATTTAATGCACTTGTATTTCTTGTTTCCAGGACTTGACAACCTTTGTTTGTGTTTGCATTCCCGAGTTCCTATCCCTTTATGAAACTGAGAGACTGGTTCAGGAGCTTACCAAGTTTGAGATTGACACACATAATATTATCATTAATCAAGTCCTTTATGATGAAGAAGGTGTTATTAGCATGTCCCATGATGCCCCCTCTTTATACTTCATATATATTCATGCTTTAGATAAACATGTTAACCATTATTTGTTGGTGTTATTATTGTAGATGTTGAATCCAAATTACTCAAAGCGAGAATGCGGATGCAACAGAAGTACCTTGATCAGTTCTATATGTTGTATGATGACTTCAACATTACAAAACTTCCATTGTTGCCACAAGAGGTAAGCTATTTGTGCCATAGCTTGTAGGACTTGCCAAGGAACTTCTTGCTTCTTTTGTGTTTTTAAAGCAATGTAAACTGTTTTTAAAATAAGTTAGCTATTGTGTTCCTTTATTTTTTTTTTTCACCTTCTAAATATTTTAGGATGAACATATGCCACTGTTTTCTAAGGAGCTTATTTTCCATTGAATGCAATTTGTTTTTGTAATATTTTCTACCTCAGTGTATTCTGGAGTTGAAGGGGTGAATTTTCTGTCATTCACTTGGCTTCTTGCCGCTCTGATGCTTTTTTATTTTATTTTATTTTTATTAGTTAATCATCCATTTGACTAGATTTCCTATTTAATAGGTTACTGGAGTTGAAGCTCTCAGAGCTTTATCAAGTCACTTTACATCACCATATCAACCTTCCACCAGCAGAAATGCTGTGGAAGATTTAGAACGAAGGATATCTACCTTAAAGCTGCAGTTGGAACATGCTGAAGCAGAACTAGACAGGCTTCAAAAAGGAAAGCAAAAGGTCTAAATGATGCGTGTTCAACCATTTTGTAATAGTGCACAATTAGATTGCGTCCAGTCATGTCATATTGGGCTGATTCGAATTAAAGTCATGCTTTATGGAAGCTCCGCATGATGCTTTGGGTAGGTTAATTTATTCATGAACATTTTTTTATGCACCTTTACCGTGCAATAAGTGTGGTTTTTCATTAATAATATTCATGCTTTAGCCATTTCAACTATTGGAAGGTGTTTTTTTTTTTTTTTTGTCATTTAGATGATTTCGATGCTTTGATTTTGAATAATGGTGATGATAGAAAAATATCTTTTGCAGTCAGCCTTGTTGTTTATTCGAATGGCAAAACAGAATTGTAACACAGCAGCGAGTATTGCTTTATTTATGCTTGCATGAACCAACAATATAGTGACTTTTCCTTCACTTAGATTTGATGGATGATAATGAAGAAAGGGGGAAAACGAAAACTAGTCTGTATTTAGAATTCTCAGGGTTCCCTTTGGATATTATATAATTCATATGAATAAAAAGAACTTGTGATTCAAACTTGGTCTACAATAGAGTCAGGGTCCCAAAAAAACAACAAGAAGGTAAACTTGGCGTGTGCTTTTTTTGACTGTTCATGGAGGGGGGGGTAACCGGAGTGTGATGGATAGTATCCGGCAGTCTGTTCGGAGATGGGAGGGTCCTGAGAAAATCATGTAGCACGTTCTACACCAACGCGTTATGACAAATGGATTTGGGTTCCACAGAAATTTTATCAGCTGCTTCTTGCTGCTAGTTTTGTGCACATGTTGAACAAAATCCTCTGCTAAAAGGATTTGGATAAGCAATATGACGTGGTGGGGTTGGCCTGGAGCGTTGGAGGCTTTTGTTTGCATTCTCCGTCAGGAAATTGTGGTGATGCAGAAACGATAGGGTGGTTGACGGTGGGCGACAATCGATTTTCTGGAATGTGAATGAAATAATTAAAGCTTGTGGCAGCGATATTGAAAGGAACAACGGTCTCATGAGCCTTAGATATGAGAAATTTGCTATCTTCTCCACATAAATGTTCTGAATTTCAAGTGTGTTTAGGGACAACTCTTTTCTTTCTCTTTCTTTTTTTGATAATTGAGAGTATTCGGATTAATTTATATGTGTCATAATTAATCTCTCAGAACTCTAAAATTAATAACCACGTAAATTTTCAATAACCTTGAAATTTGTAGCACTCAAACTTTGTAACTTTTAAGAAATAAATATAAAACCTAATCAATTAAATTATATCCATAAGAATTAACTAACTTTTTTTTTTGATATTTCACGAGATGGTGTTTCGTTTTTATCTGTAGAGGAGATAGTATCAGTGGGTGTTGTTTTGCTCCACTGATCACTTGAAATCGAGGAGTTTTCTCTGAGTTTCTTGTGAAGATTCTCGTTGCTAGTTAACTTTTTTTTTTTTTGAGAGCTTGATGATGATTAATACACGAAAGAATTTTTGGAGAATTTAAATACTGTGTACAGTCATAAACAAAACAAAACAATAAGAGTAGATCAATTAGTAAAGAGTTCGAAAACTTTTTACTATTTTGTTCCAAGACGTCTTGGCACAAGGCCAACGCAACTTTTTTACGTTAATGCATTTCTTGTCTTAGAAGAAGAAGAAGAAGAAGAAGAAGAACTAATGAGAGTTTTAAATAATGAGAAATTTGAAAGCATACTTTTTGTACGAAGAATCATAAGCATATTTGAGTGCGCTTGTGGATTTGTTATATTAATTGTTTTCTTATTTCCCACCATAAAATGTATGTGAAATGTAATATTAATCTAAAATAACTAAATTTTAGATTTAAATGAAGTAATATTTGGGTAATAACATTTTAATTAATCGTTTATTTTAGAAGGTTTAAATAAAAAAAATGATAATTTTTCTCCCTCGAAACCACATGAAAGTATGAAACTTAACGTGAACCAAATGTTTTTAATTTTACTAGGATTTTGTTTTCTCTGGTTACAGCTAAACTTACATAGTATATATAATGTTGAGGCCACGCCGTCAACAAATGTTGAGATGGCCGAGTTGGTCTAAGGCGCCAGATTAAGGTTCTGGTCCGAAAGGGCGTGGGTTCAAATCCCACTCTCAACACTTCTTTTTCTTCTGTTACAATTCAGCGCAGAAAAGGTTGCCATGGTGAATGAGAAATATCATGCCTTGACCAATCAAAATGCAGTTTTGGCCTTTTTCTGTATGCCTTCAAGTGTTTCTCTTCCAAGTTACTAGAGCCTCGCAGTTTTCATGATAGTTTCTTCATTCTTTTCGTAAGACGGTGCAGCAGCATCATCAGATCATGGAAAACAAGAAGTTGAGATAAAAAAACCCCCATGCACACACCCCTTTCCTGAATCGTAAATTGTGTAGAGAGATTATAAATCCTCTCTTTTACTTTCGCCAGTGCATGCGAAGTGTGCATCTAAAGCACTGAAGAGAGAGTAAAATTACAATAGCGTCATCATTGATCAGCTGTAGCAATATTTGTTCAAGCTTCACAGATAATTGGTTGTGGTTGGCAAACAATCAAAGCCATTTCTTTCCCATCTTTGCGTTGAATCCTGGGAAAGTCCTTGCCATTAGACTAGTTACTGGGGTGCGAGAGCTGTAACCTAATGATAGGAAACGGTTCTGACAACCGAGAGATTGGGACGTAGCAAGGGATCGGTTGCCATTGGACTAGCTACGAGAACCCGTCTAGTTAAGTTACCTAAAAGAACCTGTATACATGTTATTTCTCTTCGATATATTCCGGCACCGAAAAAGTGGTTCATTTATCTCCACTCTCCAGAGGTGCTTCAAGTGTAGTGAAGCTCGGAAATATCCACATCAAAAGCAGCATAATCTCCCATCCTCGCATTGAAAAATCGCATTATCAGTAACTTATCATGAAAATAGTACAGTAACATCAGCAGAACATACATTTTGCCGCTGGGGCATAGGAAATAAGAAGATGATGACAAAGTCAAAATCCCGATTCCCCTTTCCAAGGCTGAAATTTCTTTCACATTACTTCTTTAATAATGAAGTTAACATATATCACAAGCACACATGCTAACCACCATGCAAGGTAGAAATAAAAACCACCAAATCCGAATTCGTATCAAGCTGACCGCTATGTTCCCAGTCACAATCATTCACAAGAACTAAAACACCAGGTCTTCTGCATAACCAACCACAATCTCAACATAAGTACTAATGAGACCAATCAATATAACTAAGTCTTCAGCAAATAGAGCCGAGTTCATCATCACCTGTATTTTTTTATGGACAATTTTGCCTCATTTAGCAGCGGATTAGCAAAAGCTCTCAACTTTAAAATAAACTAAGTAAGAGAAATGCCAATAAAAGACAAGCTTAAAGCTTACACAGAATCGCCGGCCTTCCATGAACATTTCAGGCCTCTCCTTGATCAAATTCGTACGAACCCAAACAAGCAAATCTTTCATAGTAAACTGTAAAAGGCATAAAAAGACATGTAAAATGAGCACAACCCTTGTTTTCTTATTATCTGCAATTTCATTCCTCACTAAAATAAATAAACAAACAATTCACCTTGTCTTCTCCATTCTTAGGGCTAACATTCACATTATGAATCCTCACTGAATCAAATATAAATTGCATGCAACCAAACGATTAATAAAAGAGCAGGAACCTAGAAACCACAACGAGCATGTCCTTCAACAAAATGACCAAGGAAGCCAGCTACAAGCCTAGATGGAGGAGAACCAAAAGGAGATGGAAGAATAATAAAAGGTCCCACAACTTGTATTGAAGACAGTAGCAAGAGCTATGCTTTGCGACACCCACATTTGCTAAATTGTAATGCTGATAAAGTAGTTAAAGAACAATATGTAAGTGATGGAGGACGATGGCGGTGGTTCATTCGAATTAACCATGGCTAATGAGGGTTCATCGTAGAAAGCGAATGATATCCAAACAATGCCTGAGGTCCAATAGTTTATGTCGGAATTGTAAATGTGTTGGTAAGTAGAGTTTTAACAGCACCATCCTTGAATTGGGAAGGTTGCATGAACCATTTTAAGAAGAGATGATTGATCATTAATAGAAACAAGTTAAGATTTATTTTTTTGTTTTAAGATCCTAAACAAGGAAGAATGCTTACGCTGATTTTATTTTTTATTTTAAACTTCAATATTATATATAATAATGTGCATTGAAGGATATTTTATACTTAATTTATAACTTTTTTTTTAAAAAAAACTACAAGGATATTTTATACTTAATTTATAACTTTTTTTTTAAAAAAAACTACACAAGTTCCTTTAATTTTTTTTTCTATATTAACTTAATATAATATAAAACTGCATAATTATCAAAAAAAAATTCAACAGCTTTTATGAAACCTTGAAATTTAAATTTATTAATAAACATTGAGTATAGTGACCTGAAATACATCAAATTTATATCATGTTTATAAAAAAAATTCAACAGCTTTTATGAAACCTTGAAATTTAAATTTATTAATAAACATTGAGTATAGTGACCTGAAATACATCAAATCTATATTATGTTTATTTTATATTTTAAAAGTATTTTTATAAAAATATTTGTTTTTAGTTTTTTATTTTAAATTAATATTTTTATGTTTTTAGATCATTTTAATATATTAATATAAAAAATAATTTAAAATCTACATATGAAATATATTTATATAAAAAATAATTTAAAATCTACATATTAAAATGATCAAAAAATATAAAAAAATTATTTTTTTCACAAAAAAACACTTTCCAATTTAAAAACTAAAAAATAAACGAAAATTCAATACAACATTTCCATAACATAAACAATTAACTACATTAAAGTTCAATAGTTAATTATACATTTACCGGTATTTAACTTTTATAATAGTTTTTATTGTGGTAGTTTTCGTTTTTTAAATATTTTTAAATTATTTTAATTTAAAAATAAAATTATTATTTTTTAAATTATAATATATTAATATTTTTAAATATTTTTAAATTATTTTAATTTAAAAATAATTTTTTTAAAATTATAATATATTAATATTTAAAAAATGTTTTTAAATATTTTTAATTAAAAAATACTTTAAAAAAAATATAATGCTTGCATCGGATGGTCAGCCACATCAAATTCTTATCCGGATCAATGGTTAGGATTAAATTCCTTATTGACACCAAACAAATGACCACATATCAATAAGTCCATCACTACCTCTGATTTTCGCCTCTTCCTTGACAACAACTAGTCTATGACAAGCATTCTTGGTCGTTTCCACGCCTTGACTCTTGAGATCGAATTACTTAAAAGGGTTTCCTTTTCTCGGTATTTCGTCATCTGGGTCTGGTCCTAAAACACCAGAGAGAGAGAGAGAGAGAGTTAGATTCAAGTGAGGCAAGGTCAGCGTTTACATTCGGTTATTTGGGGAGCTGACTCTTCCTGTTTGTTATTTTCTTGTTTTTCTTTGAGATTCTGAACCCATGGAGACTTATAAGAAATGGGTTAGAAGGAATAAAGATTATGTTCACTCATTGGAGTCTCTTGCCAATGTAAGTCTAATCTTAATATTTGATTGTTTTGGCTTTCCGGGTTCTCTTTTTGGTTCCTTTTATCATCCATTGTAGCTTAAAAATGGAGTATATCTTGGCAAAAAGGTGACTTTGAGCTGTGCTTGGATATGAATTTAAGTTTGTTGCATTTTCTTATGACTTCTGGGTAGTGGACCGTTATTTTCTTGGAGAAAATCGATTAAAGAAGCTCTCTTTATGAAAATGCTTGCATATTTTGCTGTCTAGACTTGCTTATATCATCCTTCGTGGATGCGAATAAATGAAAATATGAGAAAAATATTGATCATGGACAGGAAGTATGTTAAGATAACAGAGATGGCTTTTGTTCTACGTATGTAATGATTATGGTTTTTGTCTTAGCTGTTCCAGTTAAGATTCTTTGACTGTTAGATGAATATGTTTAGCCATGTTGATTGTTTTCATCGTATGGATAGTTTATTCTGGTGGCACTGGGCAGTGGCATCCGAATGTTGAGATTTCTGATGAATTGGGTTCGGATGTGACTGTATTTCAAAAATGTTGTCTGATCCAGTTTTCAAAATTTGCACAGGGATTGACGTGGCTTCTTCCCGAACGGTTTTCCGCTTCAGAGATAGGACCAGAAGCAGGTTTTGTGAAACTTTGGTAACTTTTGGCTACTTCTTGTTTGCTTGGGATTTCTTTTTCCTTATTAAGTAATCATGGAAAATGGTGGGAGTGGGAAGAAACTAATTTTAGACATCAAAATTTATGTTTTCCGATGCTTCCATCCTGAACTAATGAGAACTAGTAAGTCAAACTCACACAGTTGTTTTAGGTTCAGTTTGGAGTTTTATTGTTTTCTCAGGCTCCATAATAATATATTGAACTGTCAAAATTTGAGTTTTTTTAGTTTTTTTAGCCTTGGTTTTTATCTAAAGAACCAAACACGATGGGCGTTTTTTCCTAGCTGCTCAGACTATATTGAACTGTCAAAATTTGAGTTTTTTCAGTTTTTTTAGCCTTGGTTTTTATCTCACTAACCAAACACGATGGGCGTTTTTATCTAGCTGCTCAGACTCCTTTTCCTTTTCTTTTGTATTCATACACATTGAAAAGTTAAAAATGCTGCTATATTGAGAAAGTTATTAATTATCTGCAGTAACTGCAATCTTGGGCATTATCACTGCTATCAACGAGCATATCATCGATACTACTCCAACCCAGATGCATGTTGGTCCTATGGAGCCTAATTCTTTCCCGTATTCGTTGTGCATATCTGCTATGAAGGATTTGGAAACATTGGTTGAAGTTGCAGCTCAACATTATTTTGGTGACAATAAGAAATGGAATTTCATTGCTGTTACAGAAGCTACCAAGTAAACAGCATTTGTCTTGTTTGCCACTATTTCATTCAGTTGGGCTTTTTAGAATTGTATTTTTTTGTTGATATTTGCCTGATTACTCTGCATTCCTATAACTCAGGGTGCTAGTTAGGCTCATTTTGTTCCGGAATAGTGGATATAAGATGCTTCTTCATGGAGGAGAGACACCAAATATTGAAAAGCATTCAGATGTCTCAAGCTCGCAGCATAATGTTGGGGGTTTCCCAAGACCTGGATTTCGCCATGGTCCTAATGGACTTAACCCGTGGAATCTAGAAGGAAGGGCATTATCTGCACTGAGCAGGTTTGGAGAAAATGCCAGGATGAGTTCTGACCCTGTATGGCTGCACAGGGCCGAACATCAGCAAGCTATTATGGAGCCTCCATGTATAATTATTCTTAATAATTTCATTTCAGGGTCAGATCACTAATAAACAACTATAATTCAACTCGACTAATATTTGCAATTATGCCTTGACAGCTTCAGCGATTGAGAGGCCAACACTTTCCATGATTTTATCTGAGAAAGGTGTCCAGGGGGCATTATTTCTCATGGGAGAGGTCCTTTTTATTATAAGACCCCTTATTTATGTGCTGTTCATCAGAAAGTATGGAATTCGGTCATGGATTCCTTGGTTTGTTTCGCTGGCTGTAGATGCTGGTGGTGTAGTCTTTTTAACACAGGTTACTAAATCAAGGGATGGTGGAAAAGAGCAACGCTATCACCTTACTGCTTCTGAACAGGACGAGGTTGGAGTTTTCCAGATTTTTACTGTTCAAATTGCATATGCTTCCAGCTCATCTACTTTCACGATGATTCTGACAACCCCCCCAACCCCCTCTTTGTCCTTTTTGTGAATGCAATACTCATTAACTGATGGATTTGATGCTAAAGAGATGTTGATATCATGTTTGAATCAGTTGAAAAGAAGAAAATTGTTATGGGCGCTTTACCTTATGAGAGATCCTTTCTTTACCAAGTACACTAGGTAAGGCTCTCTTTCCTAAATTTCTTGCTAAGCTATTGTGTCTCATAGTTGCAATCTCCACAAGATGAAGTAATCTAAGATTCAACACTGTATTTGTTTATCCATTCAGGCAGAGACTTCAGAGAACTGAAAAGCTACTGGAACCTGTTCCTATTATTGGGCTTCTAACAGGTGCGTGGTGTTTATTTCTTTCTGGCTGCATCATATTTCTACCTTGATGATCGCGTTTGTCTCTGAAATATTCATATTTTTCATACAATGTCTCTTGAACATGCAGCGAAAATTGTTGAGCTTGTTGTTGGTGCTCAGACTCGGTACACGTACATGTCTGGATCGTAATGGACAGCACTAGAAGTTGAATTTCCGAGTCTCTTTGATTTTAGGTGAAGTATTCTCCTTTGGAGGAGTTTGTCCTCTTATGTCTTGTCTATAGTTTTCACTCCGGATGCAGTTATAAGCGTCAGTTGCCAGACTCGAATTGGCATTGCTTTCATCTGTATCACAAGAAATTCAACAAAAAGCTTTCCATAAAAATCAGCAACAGTTTTTTTTAGATATGCGTTTCGTTCTCTTCTAAATAAGTGAATGCTTTGCTGATCTTACTATGTAGCTATGATTTTGGGAGGTCTGTGATATGCTTTAGCACGGCCATGTACTGCAGTACTACAGTTTCGAGTATTCATGCTTCCAGATGCTTTATAAATCGAGAAAAATCTCGCTTTTCGTTGTTTATTTAACCAAATTAAACAGAATCCTTTTCTTCCAAGTAATGTTGGTTTTTCCATAACTGGAAGAGAACTCCTGCTGCTGCAATCTAAAAAAGGGTCATCACGTGAAATCTATGTCTTATCTACTGTCCTGTAATGGAACTCCAAATTTTCCGGTCCCTCTGCCATCCAAGCTATGTTTGGAGTTCTCTTATTTCACAAAATTATCCTGTTACGATACTCCTGTACCATGCAGTTCTTAATTTACAAACGAATTGATATTCGTCTACCTATGTAACAACATTCCGAATCTGTTTGAAAAGTAAAATGTGACTATTTTTGTTATGTTCTATTATGTCTTGTCCAACGTACCAAATAGCATGGTGAGTCAACAACATTAATTCAACACATCAGCATGCCTCTCTATCGACCCTTGATCCCAAGTCCTTATCACTTGGCTACCGTCTAAATGGTTATGCCATGCAGTTCTTAATTTACAAACGAATTGATATTCGTCTACCTATGTAACAACATTCCGAATCTGTTTGAAAAGTAAAATGTGACTATTTTTGTTATGTTCTATTATGTCTTGTCCAACGTACCAAATAGCATGGTGAGTCAACAACATTAATTCAACACATCAGCATGCCTCTCTATCGACCAAAACACTAGCCAACACAAATAACTCACCAATTAATTCAACCATGGAAGAGGTGTTGGTGGCGATGAAAAGAGTGAAGACGACGACGCTGGTCTGGATGGAGACGTCGTCGGTGAGGAAATCAAAGGAGAGGCTATCGGGCGGCTGAAGAGTGAATAGAAAATGTTTTGGGCTTGCGTAGGCCATGGGAGGCTGAATGTAGAAGTAGTGTAATTTATTTATGAATTATGATCCAACAGGGCTAGGATCCCATCTGAATCGACTTTGAAATGATTATTTTTTTTAGTATTTATTTTGAATTGAATATGGATATGTAAAATTTTTATTTATCAGTAATTTATATTATATGACAGAATTCAAAATCTAATCCAAACACACACATACATATATATTATTGGAAATATTTCCTCCCTCTGATGAAAAAATTCATAAAAATAAAAATATAATGGTCTTATCTTGTGAAAAACAATGACTAATTTCATGTTTATTTTTATGTTTCAAAAATATTTTAAAAAAATTTAAATTTTTTTATTTATCAGTAATTTATATTATATGACCAAATTCAAAATCCAATTCAAACATTTCCTTCCTGTAATGAAAAAGTTCATGAAAACATAATGGTCTTATGAAAACAATTTCCATACAATGACTAACTCCCTTTTTATTTTTGTATTTTAAATATATTTTAAATTTTTTTATTTTTTCTTTACTTTAAATTAATATATTTTTAATATTTTTAAATTATTTTAATGCACTAATATCATAAATAATTACTAAAAAATAAAAAAATATTATTTTAATATATTTATAAATAAAAAAATATTTTAAAAACCAAACACACCACCGCTATATTTATAAATAAAAAAAATTTAAAAACCAAACACACCACGTAAAAAAAAGTTAGCTAGCAATACAAGACACAAGGATGGTCAGAGTTTTTAAAGGGGGCCAAACGGCATTTGCCCATCGGGAAAGAACCGTGCGATATTTTACTACAATACAAGGGCACTGGTTGGCAGTAGCAGGGTACTATGCAAAAGTTGTACTGTATAATGGGGTCCATGTACCCCACGCAAAGGGATCCCCACTTTGGTGGCGTGGCAGGGATCCCTAAACTGAACAGTGAAATGAGGGACCAGTTAGGGCAAGTGGGCCAGTGAACGTCCCCCACTGTGGCCTTCTCAAGGTGGCGGGGTCCCTCACCTCAAATAGATGAGGCCACGAAGTCATGAGGGTCCCCTCCCCCACGGAGAGTCCTCCTTCCTTCTTTAAAATTTAACCGGGCCCACTTGTTGAAGAATCCAAACCAAGGGCTTTTATCTGGTAGCAAATTGGCTCAGCGAAAAAAACTCCGCTGCCGTGTGATTTTTGCCTGTCGGGCTGTACTGATTTTTCTTGAAATTTTGATTTTTTTTTTGTTTTAAGTTATTTCTACATATTTTGTAATATATTAATATTAAAAATAAATTTTAAAAAATAAAAATACATTATTTTTATATATTTATAAATACAGAACAACCTCAAACATGTATATCCTTAATTCCTACAGAGTTTCAAAAGCATTATTAATGCATCCTAATCATCATTACATGGTTGGTTGTAGTTTTTTTATTTCATAAACACAATTAGTTTTTTAAAATATTTTTTTAATATTAATATATTAAAATAATTTAAAATAAAAAAATATTTTTTATAAAATGTCTTTAAAATACAGAAAACAAGAAGTATAAATCATGAATAAATGACGCAACTGGATGTGAAAATATCAATGCAGGAGCCGCCGGATTCACAGCACATTATTTAGGCAGGAGAGACACTATGCGTGAACAAACCAACCTCCATTGACGCAATGCAAGAATAATGGGCAAGTGAATGAGGCGGACGTCTTCCTTAATGCTCTAGGGACCTAACTCCCTCTATCACCGTGTTCCTGCTTGAAGCCCTCAACCATCGACGTTAACCAGACGACCCGAAATCTTTCTCACCACTAGACGTGCCCTTTAGGCCCGCAGGTAGGCTTGACACTCACGATTGCTGCTAATTGCTATATTTGCTGGTGGATCATTAATAACACCAGCTCAGATTCAGTTCTTTTTTGTGTCTTCTGCTACTCTTACAATTAGATCCACCGTTTCCATTTTGTGGCTATACGAAGAGGAATAGTGAACATCATCAACTTTAAATTCATTTTAGAGAACCATGATTTTCCTTTTTGTTTGATTAGATCTCTATAGTTTTTTTTTTTTTTTGGTGTTTTTGATTGAAAAAATTGATAAAAATGAGTTTGTTTTAGGCCTATTGGCAGCTCGACTTCGAGACCTATGATGGGTGGAATTTGGAACAACAATCAACACGTCACTAGCTGTAATTCTTTTTGTTTTTTTTTTAAAGGGCAATTGTCTCCCATTAAAAAAGGGGCAGAAATTTAAGAAACGCCAGACACCTAGGATTTTTTTTTTTTAAAAAAAAAGATATAGCTAGTTGTACTGGGCTGTCCGGTTTTTTTAAGGCCAGCTTGCTTCGTTTTTTTTTTTTGATTTTTTTATTATTTTTATTATTTTATAAAAGATTTTTATTGATTTTTTTAACTTCATATTTAATTTTAAATTAAATTTTATAATTTATTTTTATTTTTTTATACATTTATCATACACTCAAATAAATATCCTAAAATGTGATTGATGATTAATTTTAAAAAAATATCATTTTTTATTATATAATTAAATAGAAAATAATTTAAATAGAATTATTAAACTTGATAGATAACCTACGTGATATATGTGGTCGATTAACTTAAGTTGATTGAGAATTAAACTTTATAATTTATTTATTTTTTATATGATATTATTGCAATATCAGATAAACATCTTAATATTAGACTGATACTTGATTTTATAAGCTTATATTTTGTTGTCATATAATTAAATAAAAAATAATTTGAAAAAAGTTATTAAACTCAGTGACTTAAATTACTAATTTTAACAGATTAACTCAAGTTAAATAAGAATTAGATTTTGTTATTTGCTTCAATTTTTTTTTTAAGGTTACTGTAATATCAAATAAACATCTTGGATTTGGACTGATACTCAATTTACAAGCGATCATTATTGTTATCATATAATTAAATAAAAAATAGTTAAAAAAGTTATTAAACCTAGTATAATTTGTTATATTATTATGTTAATATTTTTTTTAATAAGAGATATCATCTTTTAAAACTAAGTCGGCTGAATCATGTTAGAGTAACTTATATATTATTTAATGTAAATCTATTCTAAATAAAAAATTAAATTAAAAGATTTCAAAATTGATTCGATGAAATAAGTTTAATATCACTATGAAAAAAGGTTATAAAAACATTCATTTGTTATTAAAAAAAAAACTTTGGATGCAAACCAGGCCAATTAGCTAGTCCATGTTAAATTATAAATAACTAATTATGATAACATAAAAAATTATTCACCTCCATTTTTTTAAGGTAAGAAATGTAAATCTGTGCTTGATTTTCATAGCATATTGTTCCTTGCCTAATTCACCCCATGTTTCAAAACACAGGGACTAACAAAAAAATTACAAGGTGTGCAACTGATTATATAGCTACTTGGATGAAATAAAAAAAGAACTTACTCATAAATTTTAAGATTATTAAAAATTTATATAATTATTAATTTTAAAAATTATAAGATTAGTTCAGTGTGTGTAAAAAAAGGAAAGACTTCGCCCCTGTAACAGTTTGGAAGATGGCACCGCAAATGAAATTCAACACACAAGGCACTACAAAGCACATATGGGGTCTCAAGGACTTGTAATCTGACCTCATCGGAGGCACCGCACCACAGGATCACCACCATGTGACCCTACCGAACAGTAAGCATCACGGTATGGGACCCACCACGTGTCATCATCCGGAGAGTCCAATGTCTTTTTATGATTGGCAGGTAACCGTAGATTTCAACTATCAAATTTTACGCCCTTCACTAGGCAATCAAATCTCCTTTCCATGCCTCTATATATAACCCCCTTTTCACCCCTACTGCTCGAATGTGCTTTTACAAACCCAAACCCCTCCATTTCCATGCTCCCAACTTCTCCTCCTTTGCTCGTTTTCTTCTTTTTATCCACGGTGGTACGTCTCTTAGCATGGCATCGACACAAAAGCAGGAGCTTGGGGAAGATGAAGACATGAGAACCGTTGATCTTAGAATCAACAGCAGAGAATTACCAAACATTCGAGCATGCCCCACTAACAGGAAAGACTGCAACGACATGTCGGCAGCACTCAAGGAAGAGCCAAGCACAGAGGAAAGATCACCTCCACCACCTTTAGGTGTCATGCCGTTAGCAGCAGTCTCCATGCCATTAACCACAGTAACCCCACTAAAACGGCCATCAACAAAAGACCGACACACCAAGGTGGAGGGTCGAGGCCGGAGGATCCGAATGCCGGCAGCATGTGCTGCCCGGATCTTCCAGCTAACCCGAGAATTAGGCCATAAATCAGACGGTGAAACAATCAGGTGGTTGCTTGAACATGCTGAACCTGCCATAATTGCAGCAACAGGAACCGGCACAGTCCCTGCTATTGCCATGTCTGTTAACGGAACCCTCAAAATCCCAACAACAACTAACTCCAGCTCCGGACTTGGCCAACCGAACGCTACAAAGAATCGCAAACGACCTGCTAATAGCGAGTACGTTGATGTCAACGACACCGTTTCTGTCTCGGCTTCTCTCGTTCCCGTGACAACGCAACAGCCCCCCCCCCCAGCCACAACAAACAGTTGCGGCAGTGCCACAGGGTTTAGTGCCCATGTGGGCCATACCATCCAATGCTGTCGTTCCAGGGGCGTTCTTTATGGTACCGTCCATTGCAGGACCGTCTAACCAGCCCCAGATATTTACGTTCCCGGCCGCAGCTACCCCTCTGATAAATATTTCGGCAAGGCCAATTTCATCTTTTGTGTCTTCCATGCAATCAAATATGGCAGTGGCTGTGCCAGTTTCAGGTTCTATGACTGCGAAAGGTATTTCAATGATGGCACCAAGTTCAAGTTCTGCCTGTACTGTCAGTACTACAAGTACAACTACTAATAGAACTCCTCAAATGCTTAGAGACTTCTCTTTAGAGATTTATGACAAACAAGAGTTACAGTTCATGTCTCGATCTTGAAAGCAATGATAAAAATTGATGGTTTTCATTGGTCACTTTTTTTGGGTTCTCATTGATTTTGGTGCGTCCGCCATTAACAAGTTTATTCGAGCTTGGGACTACGTATCTCTTAAGAATTAAGATTAAAAAAAAAAAAAAAGTTGCTTTGATTTGTGGATGCAGGAGAGAGCACGTGCTCACGTGTAGAGTGGGGTCGAAGTAGGCGGAGAACGGGGTCCACATTTATGGTGGGTCAACACTCACAGCTAGAAAGGAGGAGGTGACTCTGCCCTCAGAGGTTAACCTAATTAATTGTTGTTTCATGATCAGCCATTGTGAGAAAGAAGGAAAATTCTTTGCATCATCCAGGTCACTTTTATTTTTATTTTTAAAAAAGTAAAAAGGGACGGGCACCCTGGACCGTGCAAGTCGAAAAGAGAAG